TAAAAGTACACTTGGTAGTAGTCATCAAACTTTAATAAGCCACTAGGGTCAGCACGAACTGCCCAGCAAGGCAAGGGTCTGGTTCTTTTCCTTCTCACATTTGAGATGTTGATATCATGCTGACTGCACAACTAGAAAAACAAGTTGGTGCTATCAAATGGTTGAGCTTGACAACTACGAATGGTTTAAACAATGAATGCTGCCTCACTTTACTTTCAAAACAATAGTGATACAAGCCATTTCCAGGTATGGACCTAAGCCCATGCTTCCAAGGTACCTTCTGCCTGTCCCTGTACCTTTATTATAGTTTGCAACAATGTATTGATCTGAGGGTGCCTTTCTTCCCCTGCAACTCCATGAAGACAGCGCCATGTCTGACTGTTTGGCATTTTAGTTTAGTGTCTGGTCCCTAGCAAATATTCACTCTATGTGGGATTCATTCTTTCATTCAACACTTACTACACATTCAGTGGGCACTCTACTAGAATATAAAATTATAGACTAAATGGGGCAAGCTAGTTCTCTCTTCTCATCTTTTTAGGTATAATAAAAAAATAAATAACCAAATATATACAGATAGCTATATATAATAAAATATTCTTTAAAACAAAGCCTTATGGAGCTATGACATTTTGGTAAACTAAAATTCAGTTTCATGATTGATCCATACCCCATAGAAGCTTTAAATTCATCCATTTCTTCCTATCCTCTTCCAGGCCAGCAGTTTACCAGTGTAGCAGGCCTTCAGCATCTCTCTGCAATGAGCTTTTGCCTTCAGATATACACCGAATAGAGTAGCTGTCATGTGCAATCCAATCACCACCACCTCCTCTGGCTCACTTCCTTATTCTTGACAAGATCCAATACTTATGAGAACATTTTTTTCCTTCAATGTTTTCCTCTCACTTTTGGTATTTGTGAACTACTATAGAACTTCTTCTGGCTTCTTTGACACAATAATAATAATATGAAAATCTCATTGGCTAGATTTTTGGGAATAATAAACAAGACAGTAAAAATTGAAGAAATTGGTTCTAAACTGCAGAGGCTGTGGCCACATTGGCCATCTGAAGTTGAAGACATTGCCTTGCCTTTGAGGGGAACAATAAGTAGCAAATGGTTGTGCTAGGTTAGCAAGGTACCTATCACCGAGTTAACACTTACCAAGTCAGTAAGAGCAGCTGAACAGCTGCTGGGCATTTCCCTTTACCAGTGTACAGAAGCTTATAAACATTACAGGTAGTGGAAGAACCAAAAAGATAAAATATTTCTCCTATGAATATGAATAAATGGATAGTTTGAAAAATAAAAAATAAAAAGTAGGTCACCAAAATGATTTTTTAAGCTGATGAAGGAAGTATTCTGGCTTTGTATAAATTAAAGCAAGATTGAATTCAATAGCCTCGTTCAATCTCCATTTCCAGCAAAATACCACACAACATTAACTCGCTTTGCATAAGACAAATGGAAACAGGCCTACAATGCATTACAACCACAATATATTTAACAAGATGGAGATGAACAATGAAACTTCCAGGGAAACTTACAGTACTGATGCCTTGCCTCACAGTTGTATTTGCATATAAATGTTTTAGAATAATTTATTTCATTAGGGTTAGCCAGAGAATGCGCATAATGGGAATGGTTGGGGATTTTGCCTATATTCCAATTTTGCTTAAGGTTTTGAAAACAGATTCTTCTATCTCCAGTAATAATAGGCTTGAGGTAGTAAAATAACAATAATGATGACACTAATAATGCCACTGTGGTTTTACTTCCTTCTGAAACAGATGTCACTAATATCTCAGGAAAGTTTCAACACATAAGCATCATGCATGCCTCATGGAATAATTTGACAATATCCTTTCTAAAGTTCCAAGGCCCTGGAAGCAACAATTGCTAATCACTTTGGAATGATTGTGATTAACTTAAGGAAAATAATTCTTGAGGAGTTTTAAGGGACCTTACAACTATCAGAAACTAGGGGCCAGAGGTCAGCTCAGAATTGTCAGTCATTTGGAATCCCAGTCCAAGAATTTAGTCTTTGATCTAATAACATGGTTTATCCCCAAATGATTATTTTCTCCGTAATACTCTATTCATAATAAAGGATTCTGGCCAAAAATATGTAGATTTTGGCTTTTATAAAATGGAATTATGTTATACAGAAAAACAAAAACATTTGTTTGCTTCTTAGTATCCAAATGTACTCTGCCTACAAAAAGAAAGAAAGAAAAGATCTTTAAAATAAAAAAAAGAAGAAAAGAAAGAAAGAGAGAGAGAAAGTAAAAAAGGCCTCTACTACTGCTGACTCATTCCTCACAGAAAACCATTTAGAATTTCCTGGGGCAAGGAGCTGACTTTCTACTTCTATTGATGTAATCTTTGCTCCTAAATTCTGGAAACAGCTGAGGCAATAGAAGAGAAAGAGGTCAAAACCCTATGAAAGACACTGTTTTTAGGGCAACTATAATGAGAGCTGCAGGAAAGTTATTGATCTGTGCCCTTTGCTTTATTTCCAGTATATATTAATGTTATTTCCCTATGAAAGTTCAGTCTATTCATCTGGGCACTTGCAACAACACAGCAAATAGCAAAGCAGAATTTTAGCGTACTCATTAGCAAAGTGTCAAAAGGTCTTTGCAGAAATCCAGGCACCAAGCAAAGAAAGAAGAAAAGCAAAGTTCAATTCTGAATCTCTGAATCACAACATGAGTGATGAAACACATGAAGATTGGAGAAGGCACCAATAATAAACATATGCATTGGTATGTAAATGCATGTGTATGATGTTCTAACTAAGTATTATAACCATTAACCTCATCTAAAACAGGCAACCCTGTAAGGCACCAGGAGCTCCAATACTGTCAGATCTGCTCTCCAAAATCCATGTTCGTCAACCATCTGTTTTATGCATCTATAATGGTAGACAGGTAGAGAGTAGTTTGAAGATTTTTTTGTTGTTCCTTTACCAATTATAGTACTTCTGAATGAACTTTGTAAGAGAATTATTTTTGAAAGATTTTTAAGTCAGTATCAGTATTATTTAAATATCTGAAAAAATTCAGAAAATATGAATAGAATACATTAGCTTTTCCAAAATATTAAAATAAGTCTGAGACCTGTGGTGCTATTGTGTTCCCTAAAATATTGTACACCCTAATAAACTTATCTGGGGTCAGAGAACAGAACAGCCACTAGATAGACATAGAGGCCAGAAAATGGTGTCACACACACCTTTAATCCTAGCATTCCAAAGGCAGAGATCCATCTGGATCTCTGTGAGTTTAAAGCCACACTGGAAACAGCCAGGAATGGCGACACACGCCTTTAATCCCAGGAAGTGATGGCAGGAAGCAGAAAGGAATATAAGTCGTGAGGACCAGGAACTAGAGCCTGGTTAAGCTTTTAGGCTTTTAGCAGCAGTTCAGCTTAGATTCATTCTGGATGAGGACTCAGAGGCTTCCAGTCTGAGGAAACAGGATCAACTGAGGAATTGGCAAGGTGAGGTGGCTTTGGCTTGTTCTGCTTCTCTAATATTTCAGCATTCACCCCAATACCTGGCTCCAGGTTTGTTTTTATTAATAAGACCTTTAAGATTCATGCTACAGAGACCGTCTAGGTTGAGTTAGTATTCTTTCTCCTTAATTCTGCCTAGTGTCTGTTTTTAAAATGTGTGCATGTTAAGTAAAAACAGCAGAGTTTAGTAGCACATTAAGCAAAGTATAACCCTTTATGCATTACCATCTCCCATGTACAACCATTCAAACAAATGAGAAAATTACTCTTTCTCATGAGATTTTTTTCCCCTTGAGACAGTGTCTCCCTCTGTAGCCTAGGCCGCCCATGACCTCCAGATCCTCCTGCCTCAGACTTCTAAACACTGAGATTATAAGTACACACCACCACATCAATTTGCCTTCTGCTCTCCAAAGAAACTAAAATCTTCCCTGATGGTTATCTCTCCCATGCCACTGCAGCCTTATATGCCTGGCATGTGTCAGGGAAGAAGGGTAGTCGTGAAGGAGGCAAAAGTGAAGAGATCACTTTACAGTCAATCTGACAATCTGATCTTTTTTTTTTTTTTTTTTGGTTTTTCGAGACAGGGTTTCTCTGTGTATCTTTGCGCCTTTCCTGGATCTCGCTCTATAGACCAAGCTGGCCTCGAACTCACAAAGATTCGCCTGCCTCTGCCTCCCGAGTGCTGGGATTAAAGGCGTGCGCCACCACCGCCCAGCTGATTTTTTTTTTTTAACTCCTAATTTCAAATACTACCATACAATACTGGACTACTGTTCCCTAAAATCTGACTTGAAAAACACGTTCTCCCAGGGTATAATAGCCACCTCTAGGGATCTGAATATAATTGCCATGTTATCGTATGAAACAAAAACTTTGAAATTCAAATCTTACTTATTGTTTTAAGGAAATATAGAAATATCTACTATTTCCCTATTCACAAATATCACCACATGATGAAGAGGAAAACACAAGACAGAGAAAAGGCCACAGACTTCAGAATCACGTAGCCATGTATTCAATTCCAAGACCAGCCAGCCTCCAAATAAGCTTGGCTAACTACAATCTGAGTCTCAGTTCTTCTAATTATAAGATGTGGACATTAATAACTAGCAAGAGAGTAACAGTGAAAACTAAATGAAATAATACACACAAATTATCTCAGAGACAGCTTGGGACCTAACACATGTTCAACAACTGCTCCATTCTTTCCTGCCTTTTATTTATTAACATATGTGGTAATAAACACTCTTCATTAGAAACAGGCTTGTATCTCTCATTCAATGTCTGTGAATATGGACAATAGGCCTAAATTTTCTCAACAAATCAAAGCAAGATAGACAATGCCTGGCCTAAGTACGTATGGAATATAGTATTCTCAGCTCAAGAAAATAACCCACCTGAAGATAAATTATTTACCTTCCACCCTAGAAAGTATACAAGAAAAAGAAAAGCCAACACTGGACTACACCCTCGTCTACCTTGGTTGGTTGTCCACAGTGAGGCTCTCTCCCCTCTGATAGCCACTGTCTGCCACCTGAGTGGTTGACCTCTTCACGATCTGCTTTAGCTCCTGCTCCAAACGCTCTTTAATGGCTTTAACTGTCTCAGGGATCTTCTTCAGTCTGGCCAGTCCCTGGATAAGAATTCCCATGAAAAGAGTGCTGTTCTCCTCTGGATCACACTCCAAGTCCTCCTTGATGTCTTGTAGGTTCATCTCCCTCACTGCAAAAGAAAAGCACACCAGAAATATCAAATCCAGTTTCCACATTAATTCAACAGCACGGCAAGACTAATAAAAATCACTGCTTTGATTATTCTCTTAAAGGAATCAGAGAAATTTTCTATTACATTAAGTTACATAGTAATATGCAGCAGCCCCCAATTCAAACTAATTGATTAGTAATGAATGTACAAGCACTTATATATGAAGATGCGAATCTCCAGTTTTACAAAGACTATTATGACCCAAGTCTGTTGATAAATTAAGTACATGCTGTCTCTAAAATACCATACATGGTATTTCAGGAGAACTCTAGGGACTCAAACCCCAATCTCAACTCCTACTAATTAGATAAAAGTGATAATCTGAGGGAATAAAATATGTTATAAATACATGTAGGGGGCAAAAGTATATAACTACAACAAATAAAAAAGAAATGAAGAGAAACATATGTAAAAAAACAACATATGAGAAGAGTTTGAGGAAAAATATAATAGTAAAGAGGTACTGAATAACTAAAAAAGAAAACATATTTTCTTCAAACATATGTGTGACTTGGCATGGTGACCCATACCATGCAATCCCAGCTACCGAGGGGCTGAGGCATAGGGACTACATTTCAAAGTGAGTGTGGGCTAGGTAGCAAATTCCAGCCAATTTTGCATACATAATGAGACCTTGTTTATGAAAGTGAGTGAGACAGAGAGATTTGTGTGTGTGTGTGTGTGTGTGTGTGTGTGTGTGTGTGTGTGTGTGATTTTTCACAGACCTTTGTTATAATCAAGGAAAACCTTCTGATAAGTTATATTATATGCCAAATATCCCTATAGTTCTTTATACTATAGCCTTTACCCAAACCATCTTTTCTTAAAAAGGAGGACATAGCCTCACACAGTAGTTCTTAACCCCTGTGAGCAGGTGGAGAGGATTATCTGATGAGCTGAGATCTTTGTCCCTACTAAAAACTACATGATAAAAGCCCTATTAGGGCTGGAGAGATGGCTCAGCAATCATGAGGACCGGAGTCTGTGTTCTAGCATCCATGTAACAACCTAGATATCCCTGAAAATGCCTGTAAGCCCTAGATATCAAAGCCAAACAAAGACAGCACAAGAAAGCTACAAACTAAACCAGTATCTATTATGAACCATATTTCTCAACTACATATCTATATAACCATAATGATTCATTATTCACAGCATTCATTATTATAATGGCAGCATTATCCATAATCACCAAATTTAGAAGCAACCCAGGTGCTCACCAACACATTAACAGATTAGCAAAATGTGATCTACATAAACAGTGGCATGTCATTCCACTTTAAAACTGGGGAAGCCTGACATACTGCAACATGGATGAATCTTGAATACATCATGCTAACTGAAATAAGACTGTCACAAAAGACAAATACTTCATGATTCCACTTATGATGAGGTACTTAGTGGGGTCAAAATTCCTAGAAACATAGTAGAAGGTTGTTTGTCAGGGACAAGGAAAAGGTAGAAAAGAATAGTTACTTCTTAATAGATACTGAGTTTTGAGTTTTACAAGATGAAAGGAGCTATGCAGATGGATGGGGGTATTGTCGGCACACACTATGAATGTACTAAATACTACTGATCTATACATTTTAAATGACTAAAATATAAGCTTAATGATGTGTATATTTTAACATAAAATATGCACTTAAATATGGACCAAAGGTATTTTAGTAACATGCAAGCTCATTCTTATGAATAAATCCTCTATATATTTGTCCATGATGTCTTATTAGACTCATTAGGCTCCCAGAAAGTCAGAGAGAGACCACATTCATAGGGCATTCAGTACAATACAGTATGTTTAATGATACAGTACTCAATAAAAATAATGTCTAATACTAATGAAACTGGAAGTAGAACCCAGAGGCTTAGCCTCAAAAGATAAAAAATCTAAAGACAAGTTTTTAAAACATCATCAATACTTCCAAATCTAATGTTATAAAAAATATACATTTCAGTTCCTGGTTTTGTTTTATACATGAAGATGTGAGATACCTCAGGCCACAGAAATACTCTATCTAGCAAATCCATCCCCACAGCAAGGCAAGGAAAGTATTCAGCAGCAGGGAGCCGCCTCAATTCAGCATGGAATAGGAGGAAATGAAGCTGAACTACAAGAAGAGCTTCAGGCAGGAAGAAAAGTAATGGAAATGTACCTGTTCAAAATGCTCTTTATAAAAAGCACACCTACAAGTCACAAACAGGACACATACAAAGAGCCACCTAGACATCACAGCTCCCTGCCTATGGTAACTGATAAGGTAAATACAGTTTAAGTCAATATGGCCTGCAATGACATGGCATATAGCTACTTATATGCACACTAATATGAGAACTAGGTCATTAAAAAGCAATACATAAGCAAGATATGAATAATGAAATGCCATGCCCATAAACAGCACATCTGTTTAAAAACTTAGTTTTTTGTTGTTTCCTGAAATTACCTAAAGCATAAATACTTAACAGATCCAATATTAATTGGTTTATATTATCTATTTCACTTACATCAGCTGAAAATTAAAAGGCAATGTAAAAGGGTAATATAATCAACATGACTAGTCTAATATTCACAAACATCTACAAGGTCAGACAGCATCACTGAGAAAAAAATACAAAAATAATTTAACTGAAATTCAATAAGGCTTCATGCAATACTCATAACACACTTGTGCATCTTTCCAAACTCCTCATGTCCACATGATTTCCAAGCACCTGAATTGCAATAGCGGATACTCAGTATATAGGTATTAGGTATTTTAAAGCTAGAAATATATTACTTTCATCTCCAATTCTCTTATCCTCAACTTTATATTGTTCTAAAGATCCTAACAACTAAAGATGAATCAAATGTAGTTTCTAGAATCTTAGTGCCGGATAGGCTAATGTAACACACTAAAGAATGAGGATGGCTTTTACCTTGTTATCTGTCCTACAATCCTGCTGGCTACAAGTATTTATTATTTTCCACACCACTTTGTTTATATAGACCTAGGTGGATACAGACAGAGACAGCAGAGGACAAACATGGAAGGAGGGTCTCACCTGACTGAATGGACGAAAGGATTAAGGAGAAGATAGCTAAGATACCTTCTCAAGCTCTAGACTTCCATATTCACATTAACTCTCCATCTCTGGTTACATGGCTTAGAGCCTGTTATATGTATACCTGTATTACTAACAGCACATAAAAAAAAAATTAGCAGATAAAGGCCCAGGCATGATGGCACACACCTGAAATAAACACAAGACGAAGACTACCCAGGGATATACAGAAAGACACTATCCCACAGAAACTGAACAAAAAATAACAAGCAAACAAGGTGAATACTCTATTCATGAAGCTAAATACTTTTTGTTTAATGACTTCGTAAATGAATATAGAAAAAAATCTAGACCATCAGCCCATGGCTGCTTTCTTTCTTCAATATTTGTAAGATAAAATCAGCAATTTGTATCATGGTTTACCACACACACACACAACAAAACTGCAGAAGACAAGGCCCTTTAATTCATTGTTGAATATGCAATATCGTATCATTTAGCGCTACTGCTTGTACATGTTAATTAGGGCATGATACAATGGCATTGTTTACTATAGGAACTCTTGACAGATGTCATTCATTATATTATGCACAATATACAAATTGTGTAAAGTTATTATACAGTAAATGATTTAAATCTATGTAATTTGAATTACATGTTGTATTTAAACAATATTAGCTCTGTATAAGAAAAGAACTGTTTGCCAGTATTGAGCAAAATTCAATATAAAAAGGAGCCTTTGTAACAACAATTAATTTAAAAAAAAAAAAGAGGCCATGCATTTGAAAGAGAGAAAGGAGGGTGCACAGGAGAGTTTGGAGGGGAGAAGGCAAAGGGAAAATGATGTAATTATATCATCTCAAAAAATAAAAGAAGTAAGAAAATCAAGGAGCCTTTGAAAAGTTGTCAAGCCTAATTGGAGCACTAAAGTATCAAACAAATTACCTGTCTACAATGCCACACCACAGATGGGACCTGGCAATCCTGACAATAGTCTTGAAAACAGTAAGAAATTGCCACTAAAAAATAATTTGTGTGCCTCAAAAGCACACTGTAACTCATATTTCTGAGATATCCAACTTGCTTATTACATAATTATACATAAAATATAATTCCTGAAATTGAAAGGAAATAGTCTGGCTCAAAACAGACAGTAAAATTGCTGAAGACAAGAAAGGTGAACAATGAATGGAGCCAGGGTGTGGAGCCAGTGATCTCCTGATGGAAAGACAGACAAGAAAGCTAAGATTGGCCCATCTGTGTTAGCTAGCAGACCCTTACTGTGCTCCACTGGCCTGAGAAATCCATTCACTGTGGGTGCCACAAGCCCAGGAGCAAAGCAAGCTCCTACTTCAGCTAGAAAGCTAGTAGATCTCCACCAATTCTCATCCTCCATTCTTCTTTGCAGAAATTCTTGGTCAAATATATATCTTAGTATCACTCCTTTCGCCAGTGAAAAATGACTCCTTACATATTTTGTTCTAATTAATGCACCCACTGGTGCAGAGGAGAACAGTAACTGAAGCACTGGTTGCCTCTGGAGTACAGAATCTTGATTAGGGTCTTTCAAATGTTAACTAACTACCCCTGGAGTGTAGATTCCTGATTAAGGTACTTCAAAACAGTTAGCTAAGAACCCCTAAGGTGCAGATTAAATTACCTTAAAGAAACCTACAGACAATAAAACACCCCACTCCAGAAAAGAGGTTGCCCAAAAGGAGACTATCTGAGGTAGACAGAACAAGGATATCAATTCACAGAAAAGGACTCCACCCTGCTGACCTGAAAGCATTGAGTGTACACAGGGACACTATGGACTAGTGTTGGCCAAGAGGGAAAGACAGTAAACTTGTTTAAAGCAATGATAAAAAGTATTTTAAAACAAAACAAATGATCTACTGAATCCTTTTATCATG